GGCCTCCGAGGCGATGTTCACAGTGGTGTACTGAACCATAGGTCCTCCAGGCTGTCCAGGGTATCCAGGCTGTCCAGGGTATCCAGGGTGTCCAGGCTGTCCAGGGTATCCAGGCTGTCCAGGGTATCCAGGGTGTCCAGGGTGTCCATCATTGCTCCCCTGCAATGGAACATTCTCAGTCGGGTAACTCGGAGGATTCATGCTGTCAGCTCACCTGCAGTTTGGAGTGTGGGTTGCAGGAAGGTGCGCAAGAACTCAACTTTTTGTGAAGTTGCGCAAGAACTCAACTGTCAATGTAACTGTCGGCTTCTTTTTTTCACCAAATTTCCAATGAAACGCAACACACAAGGGTTGGCTGTGGATATGAAAAAGAACATACAATACAAGCCTTACAAAAATCCCAGAAGAGTTTGCATATTAATTTAAAAAACAACAACATTTTGTCCATTAAACAATCCTTTTGATTGAGTTGAGGCATCACAGACAGGAAATCTCAAACAAATTCTGGCATTCAAACCTGACTGCAGACAACATTTCATAACTTTTTTGAAAAGGATACCATACTATGATTATTAGTAGGTTATAATATTTAAGACTTTTTATGACTATTTTTCCCCATGCTATTGTCTTTTTTATGACATTCTATACTTTGACTTTTAATGATTTGTTTCGACGGACTATATTGTTACATTATACTGTGACATTTTTGTTCCTTTTTATGACATACAATAATGACTTTTGATGTATACTATACTGTGACATTTTTTTGGCATACTGATCCATCACATGTTTAGGAAATTTGTCTGACATACTATACAAGGACATTTTTTGTGACATACTATGTCGCATAGTGCTTTTAGAATGTTGGCATGCTGCTGAACATTTAGCTCACAGCACTTTTTGCAGAGGATGTGAGAGTGAGATCAAAAGCAGTGACGATTCAGTCACTTACAATGCATCACACTTGTGGAAAAATATTACCCCGACTCAGCCTTTAAAATCAGGCTTAAAACCCTATCATGTTATGCTGCCTTCCAATGTGTTTATTTTGTACATCAGGATTATCTCTACATTTGTATACATGCTCTTATATTTGATCTTTTAAAGTTTGTTTTAAGTCCTTTCAAGTTTTAATGTTTTTAAAGCTCTTTGAAACTTTGAAAAAAGCCTTTAAAATCACATAACCAAATGTTTCCTGTGCACAGGCTCACTGGAAAAGTTACAGGCTACATCATACATACTGATTCGGTCAATTATTAAATGTGCTGTTGACTAACACGAATCTATCACAATGCAATGCACAAAGGAAATAAAAAAACACAAAATAAGCATCCCATCTGAGGTAAAAACCTTTTGTCACAACGTCACACATTGAGTATAAAATGGTAAAATGTGCTGATATGTATACCAACTGCTAAAACAGTAAATTACCAATAGCTACTTTTTAGAGTTTGTATGTAGTATTGATTTGGGACAAAGCCTTTTATGTGGAGTGATTATGTGGAGTGGGACACACCTGGATCCAAAGAGCCTAAAACAGTAGTCCAGCAGCTGATACTTACAGCGCCTTGCATAAGTATTCACCCCCCTTGGATGTTTCATCCTTTTGTTGCTTTTATCCATGAAATCATGGTCAATATAATTTGGCTTTTTTGACAAGAATTTGCAAAAAAAACCTCTTTAATATCAAAGTGAAAACAGATTTTTACAAAATAATGTCAATCAATTAAAAATATATAAGGTAAAGTAAAGATTGCATACGTATTCACCCCCTTCAGCTCAGTATTTAGTAAATGCACCTTTGGCTGCAATCACAGCACTGAGTGTGTGTGTGTGTGTGTGTGTGTGTGTGTGTGTGTGGATGTGTCTCACTCAGGCTGGCACATCTGGACACTAAGATTTATCTCCATTCTTCTTCAAATCAGCTCAAGCTCTGTCAGGTTGCTCAGGTATCGGGCGTGAACTGCTCTTTTCAAGTCCAGCCACAGATTCTGGATTGGATTGAGGTCTGGGCTTTGACTTGGCCACTCCAGAACATTCACCTTGTGGTCTTTGAACCATTCTGTGGAGCTTTTGCTGTATGCTTGGGGTCGTTGTCTTGCTGGAGAATAAATCTTCTCCCAAGTCGTAGTTCTCTTGCAGACTGAGTCAGATTATCCTCCAGGATTTGGCGATATTTTTCTGCATTCATGTTCCCCTCTACCTTTACAAGCCTTCCAGGGCCTGCTGCTGAGAAGCATCCCCAGAGCATGATGCTGCCACCACCGTGCTTCACGGTGGAGATGGTGCATTTGTGGTGATGTGCAGTGTTTGGTGTTCACCAAACATAGCGTCTAGTCTGATGGCCAAAAAGCTAAATTTTTGTCTCATCAGACCAAAGAACCTTCTTCCAATTGACCTTGGAGTCTCCCACATGCCTTTGGGCGGATTCTTTCTACAGTGGCTTTCTCTTTGCCACTCTCCCATACAGCTTTGACTGGTGAAGAACCCGGGAAACAGTTGCTGTATGTACAGTCTCTCCCATCTGAGTCACTAAAGCTTTTAACTCCTTCAGAATCAGAATCAGAATCAGAACCGTTTATTGCCATGGTATGTTGAACATACAAGGAATTTGACATGACGGGAGGTGCATAACATTTAGCAATCGACAACAATCAACAGTGCAAGGTAGAAACAAATGAAATTTACAGAAAATATAAAATAAAGTAAAATATAAAATAAAGTGAAATATAAAATAAAATAAAGTAAAGTGCACAAATGAACAGATAACAGGACTATAAACAAGTGAGATGTAAGTGTAGTGTAAAAGTGTTGAGTGTAATAGAAGGGATGTGCAGGGGAGTGACCGGTAGGAATTTGTCCTGGGGATGACAGTCAGTGGGGTCCCGGGCTCTGTTAATGGGCCCGACTGCCGACGGGAAGAAACTGTTCATGTGTCGTGAGGTCTTGGTCCTGATGGACCTCAGCCTCCTGCCAGATGGAAGGGGCACGAACAGTTTTTGTCCAGTGTGAGAGGGGTCGGCTACGATCCTTCTTGCTCGCTTCAGGGTTCTTAAAGTGAACAAGTCCTGGAGGGACGGCAGATTGCAGCCAATCACCCTCTCGGCAGAGCGAATGATGCGCTGCAGTCTGTCCTTGTCCTTGGCTGTGGCTGCAGCGTACCAGACTGTGATGGAGGAGCAGAGGATAGACTCAATGATGGCTGTGTAGAAATGCACCAACATTGTCTTTGGCAGGTTAAATTTCTTCAGCTGCCTCAGGAAGTACATCCTCTGCTGAGCCTTCTTTGTGATGAAGCTGATGTTATGCTCCCACTTGAGGTCCTGGGATATGATGGAGCCCAGGAAGCGGAAGGACTCCACCACGTAGACGGGGGAGTCACACAGAGTGATAGGGGCTGGTGGGGCTGCATTCTTCCGGAAATCCACAACCATCTCCACTGTCTTTAGAGCGTTGAGCTCTAAGTTGTTCAACCCGCACCAGGTCACCAGATGGTCAGTCTCCCACCTGTAAGCGGACTCATCCCCACCAGAGATGAGGTCAATGAGGGTGGTGTCATCCGGAAACTTCAGGAGCTTGATGGACTGGTGACTGGAGGTGCAGCTGTTGGTGTACAGGGAGAAGAGCTGAGGGGAAAGAACGGAGCCTTGGGGGGAACTGGTGCTGATGGTCCTGGAGGCTGAGATGTGCTTTCCCAGCTTGACGTGCTGCTTCCTGTCAGACAGGAAGTCTGTGATCCACTTGCAGGTGGAGTTAGGCACGTGCAGCTGAGAGAGCTTGAAGTGCAGCAAAGACGGGGTGATGGTGTTGAAGCCAGAGCTGAAGTCCACAAACAGGATCCTGGCGTAGGTTCCTGGAGTCCAGATGCTGGAGGATGAAATGAAGGGCCAAGTTGACTGCATTGTCTACAGACCTGTTGGCTCTGTAAGCGAACTGCAGGGGGTCCAGGAGTGGGTCAGTGAGGGTTTTTAGGTGGGACAGGACTAGGCGTTCAAAAGACTTCATGACCACAGAGGTCAGGGCGACGGGCCTGTAGTCGTTAAGTCCTGTGATCCTTGGTTTTTTGGGGACGGGGATGATGGTGGAGACCTTGAAGCAGGCTGGTACGTGGCATGTCTCCAGGGAGGTGTTGAAGATGTCTGTAAACACCGGAGACAGCTGATCAGCACAATGCTTCAGGGTGGAGGGGGACAGAGTCTGGGCCGGCTGCTTTGCGGGGGTTCTGTTTTTTAAAGAGCCTGTTGACGTCACTCTCCCGAATAGAGAGGGTCGTTACTGGGGAGGGGGGTGGGGGGGACACTGTGATGGGTGGTACAGAGGCATGGGCCCCTGCTGGGCTGGGGGAGGGGGACCTGGTGGTCTGGGGCTGGTTGATGGAGCTGTGGGGGATGGAGTCAGGACTGTCCCATTGTCTGTCAAAGCGACAGTAGAACTCGTTCAGCTCGTCTGCCAGGCGGAGGTCGTTCATGGAGTGGGGGGTTTTAGGCTTGTAATTGGTGATCTGCCTGAGACCTCTCCAGACAGAAGCAGAGTCATTTGCTGAGAGCTGGTATTGCAGTTTCTCAGAGTACAGTCGTTTAGCATCTCTCACCGCCTTGCTAAACCTGTATTTTGACTCTTTATACAAGTCCTTGTCCTCACTCCTAAATGCCTGATCTTTTTGCAGCCTTAGCTTTCTGAGTTCTGCTGTAAACCAGGGTTTGTCGTTGTTGTAACTCACCCTGGTGCTTGATGGAACACAGCTGTCCTCACAGAAGCTGATGTATGACGTTACAGCCTCTGTGTACTCATCCAGACTGTTGGTAGCAGTCTTGAATACTCAGAGTGGTCCTAGGTGTCTTGGTGGCCTCCCTCATCAGTCCTCTTCTTGCCCGGTTACTCAGTTTGTGAGGACGGCCAGCTCTCGGAGATTTAAACAAGTGCCATACTCCTTCTATTTCTTAATCATGAACTGAACTGAACTCTGTGGGATGTCCAGTGAGTTGGAAGTATTTTTGTAGCCATCTCCTGACTTGTACTTTTCAATGATCTTTTCTCTGAGTTGCTTGGAGTGTTATTTTGTCTTCATGTTGCAATTGTAGCAGGAATACTGATGAACTGGACCTCCCAGACAGGTGTTTTTATACTAAATTCACTTGACACACATCAACTGCACTCAGGTGATCTCCATTTCACTACTTGTGACACTACTGGCATCAACTAGATGGACTTCTGTTGAATTAGGTCAGTCACTTTAAACGGGGTGAATACTTATGCAAACACTTATTTTACACTATACATTTTTAATTAATTAACATTAGTTTGTAAAAATCTGTTTTCACATGAAAGAAGCTTTTTTTTCAAATTCTTGACAAAAAAGCCAAATTATACTGACCATGATTTCATGTATAAAAGCAACAAAAGGGGAAAACATCCAAGGGGGGTGAATACTTATGCAAGGCACTGTACTTGCTTACTAGGTAACTGCTGGGAGGTAATTTAAAAGCCCACACGCACGTACATGTCCAGTGGTTTACCACTCTACTGGGTGACACACCAAACAGACAAGAAACCCACTAATGTCAGATTAAATCAGTCTTGCTGCCATTTTGATCACATACTGTGTCAAAAGATCCATGAAGATGCAAACCTGCTAAGACAGAAATAAATGCAGACAAAGGGAAGCTGCTGATACGCTTTGTTTACAAGTTCATTAATACAGGCACTGAACACACATCTCATCCGAAAAAGGTTCACTTGAACATTAATGAAAACAGAAATGTTACATTGAGATGATCATTTGAGAGTTTACAAATACACAACAAAGCATGTGACAGACAATTCCCATTGGACGGTGCTACCTTTGATTGTTTGCTGTTGTGGATCTTTGTAGTCTGAAAGTGACCGACATGATATCTTTAAACTGAAACTCTGAGGCTCCTCTACAAACTGTGTCACACTTTGTAATATGCCGTTAAACACTTTACCATTTTGGAACGGAACGCATTAGTCAATGTAGATTCACATCTTTGATCATTAGGTTACTATTGACTCAGTCTCTTCCTACATGTGAAGAAATGTGGAAAACTAACAAATAAAAACTGTCAGCAAATCATAAGTGATTCTTCTAGTTTAAGGGCAAAATGATCTGTATTTGGTCGTTTTCATCCACAAAAAAGGCACTATTGTTTTAGCTGTAACGGAAATAAGTCCTCATCTTGAACCTTACTTTTTAACAATATGCTGATGCCCACAAGAAAACAACAGTAAGACTGACAAGGGTTTCCCATTGCCAGTTCTACTCATACAAATAAAACATAGTGATCATTGCCCATAGTGAACAAAAGCCCTGCCATTAGCACAGCCACGAGCCAATCCTGCATAACAAATCAAGGTATTTTATAAATGTGATCCAAGACTGAAGACACTTTGAATAGCTGGATTTGTTTTCTTTAAGTTAAACTTAAGCCAAAGAAAAGAGTTGGATCATCATAACATAGTAGTGCACACAAAACCTGAGTACGTAATTAAACGAAACAATTATCACTTGTCATAGTACTCAACAGCAGTTGGGGTTAATTGATTTAATGCAGACAAACAAAAATGCTAATAAATGCTAAAAGTCGAGCACTAAAAGAATTAGACGCCATGATAGAGAGATTCATTAATCTCATCATAGAGTATTGCTAGCTTTGAGAATTTTAGAGAAAATCAATTGTTTGGATTGACTGAATTCAAAATGAACCAACCCAACCCTGACACTACAAGGTTAGTATTCCAGTCTCGGCACCGACGGTAGTTTGAAAGTTAATCCCAATCGTGTCACTGGTAGTAGCAGTTGGTAATCACAAAAGTGCATTTGCTAGAAGATAAATGGAAGAGGCGGAAATTGAAGTCCTCACATCTTGGAGGAGGCAGCGATGGCCGAGACTCCCGGACGGCTGTAAACATGCACAGCTGTGTTCTGAGGAAAACAAAGTAGAAGGAAGAGGTAGAAAAAAAAAAAAATGGCTTAAGTGTGCAGAGTATAAACAGCATAGTCCACAATAAACTGGTGACATTACGAAATAAATGACAAGAAATTTAGGTGAATTTCCTCCGGTGATCAATGCAGTCACATCTTATCCATTTTAAATGGCCTCATTTAAAAACACACCGAGGTCACACTTACCCAGTGTTTACACTCAGTGTTTAAAGGGTTCAGTCGGTCCATGTGAAAATAACACTACTTCTTTCATGGTACATATCTGGAATGTATTTCAAACCTGTATCTGCAGTTTAGAACTACACACAAAGTAGAGCCGAGGCTGATGGTAAAGTAATTGATTTTGAAACTATTTGGTAATAAATTGAAGTACTCGACACATTTGAATTTTGACCTGCTTGTGGTGCTAGATGAAAAAGGGATAATTACCTCAAAATCAGAAATGTCCAAGTCATGATGGCACTTAAGTAATTAGGATTGGTCATCTGTGGGCCATGAATGTCTGGAGCAAGTTCTATGACTCAACACTGGATTTCACCTTACAGGAAATGTGTTTACCTTCTTGGCCTCCCCATTGTACTCATTGAGAAGCGTCTCAACCCGGTTTCCATAGTCCGGGTGGACAGCATTCAAGTTCTCAACCTGCATGAAGAGCCAGACAATCAGATGTTAAAAAGGCCCTGAAAACACAGTTTCAGCTTCTTCTCATGAGTAAACTCAAATCTACCAAAGTTACGGTTTATTTGGTTACTTCCTCTTTTGGTTTGAACTGGGCAGGGTTCTTTTGGAAAAAGGGGATGTCACGTATTTTGGTGCACCAAATGTGATGACCGTTGGTGGGTTGTTTGGAATGGGTGGGTGTGATCGGATTGACAGTGTCCAGGCAAAGAAGAATAGCGTTTTATTTCTAAGTCTTGTTGTAAAGTGAGTTTAAACTATTGAAAATATGTATCTTTAGGTATCACTTATGAGATGATGATTGCATTTTTAGATGTTATTGTTGTAGAGAAATACTTAAGAACTGAAGCCATGTTTTCAGGGACTTTAAAAAGTTTCTCAATATCTAATTACAGAGTTTCTTATAGTTTCAAACACACAGTTTCCTAAATTTGGTGGATTATTTCTTGCTAATTGAAAAACTGTTACACAGTATGACCACAGTTCAAAAATAAAGCAGAAACCCTGAACTGAAAGTTTTACCCGCATCCGCACAAAGCCTCATGGGGGTTGTGTTGCTGGTCAAGGAGGCATGGAAGATAATAAACTGTGTAAATGATATTCAAAACATCTCTGGTAGTTCTATGTATGATACTATGGGAGACAAACACAACAAATACTAGCCCAATAAATCCAGACTGGGTTTGGTTACTGTGCTTCTGTGGTCGCGTATGCATCAAGAAGGTATTTTGTTTATTTCTCGATCATAATTATGCAGTTGATACTCAAATGTTAAACATCACTTTCCCCTGACAACACCCATCCTGTTGAAAAACTGATTCAGTGCATTGACGCGATTAATAACTGTATGAATGTCCCAAAACTTTCTCCAACCCAAAAGAGACTAAATAAAAATTGTGTTACTCCACTACCAAAAAAAAAAAACTCATTAAATGGCGTATTGGCCGATCATGTTCTGCTGCTTTTCAAAGTGTTTATTTTGTACATCAGGATTATCTCTACATTTGTATACATGATCTTTTAAAGTTTGCTTTAAGTCCTTTCAAGTTTTAATGTTTTTAAAGCTCTTTGAAACTTTGAAAAAAAGCCTTAAAACCACATAAACAAATGTTTCCTGTGCACACTGGTGCACTTTAAAAAAAAACATCCTGTGGTTTCAACATGAAGCTCATCTGAATACGTGAGACAGTAATGTGACAAAGAGTTTGTGGATACAATAGGAGGTGATGTGTACTCGCCATGCGTTTCTGGATGAAGAGCTGGGCTCCCTTCAGGGCCCCTGCCATGTTCTGGCAAAGTCTCTGGCGCTCGTCTTCGTTCAGGACCTGCGTGAAGAAGGTGCGAACCTGCAATAAAGCACAGAAGAAGAAACAAAGAGTTGACAACCTGGTCAAAGTCGATTAACTCAAAATGAGATTCATAAATGAATTTCTTAAAGAAATTGCAGTTTAAAAAGAACATTGAGCACCCCGCCAATATGCCAAGTAGCAGCAGGAATCCCACTTGGTGGGACATTAAATGATCTCCTTTGCATGATTGTATTTTAATTGTGGGTAATAAGTAATTGATTATCAATTGATATGAATTATACGTCTATGATATAAACGCCATATAGAGCAGTTATGAACGACGAGCTTATTTACACATTGAGCTAAACAGGAGCAACATTATTTGGAGCCGTGTTTCTGATTCACTCTCTTTTAGTTCTGCTTATTAGCTGCTAAACGCTCCACTATGTTCACCAGCTTTGTCTGTCTGCTGTTTGGTATTGGGCAGGAAGTATACAGTGGGTTTACAAGCGCTCTTTTTTCTTTTCTTCGCAGAAAAACCGTTGATGAGAGCAGAAAGAGGAAACCAAAACAGTTGAGGTGAATACTGGAAACGAGTTGAAAGAGGTTGAATGTCTGTGCGAAGCTGAGAGGAGCTGCAGAGTTGGGTGATAATTCTCAGTAGGTTTGGCACATATGTGGGTCATATGATCCACTGTTGACATAAGAATATTCATCAGTGCAGCTTTTTAAATAACATTGAAAGTAAGTATTACAACTGATTATCATTTAGAAGAGTTCATATAGTTTTGAATCAAGCGTTTGCTTTGGAAAGTACACTTTACAAAGGGTGTGAATGAATATATTGTATGTAATACACAAATCAAAAACACTTATTTAACTCTTGGAGGCACACAGCTAAACATGCGACGCTATCTTTACCTGTGTAAAATTATCGTCATCTGCACTGTTGCAACGTGCCACATCTGGAGACACCTGAAACTTGGACTCCACAAACCGAGGCTGGGTCTCCGGGGCACTGAAGCTGTTGGGAAAGTAGTTTGGAGCTCCACCTAGAGGCCAAACAGACGAAACACGGTTGAGTCGGCTCGGACAAAAAAATAAAAAAATCAATGATGGAAATGATGGAGCCACATCTCCTGCCTAAAGGAGTTAAGCATTTATCGCCATCCTTGTTACCGTTTGCACAGAGAAACGCACACAGCGGACTACGGCTTACCTTGGTTGTCAAACATGCACATCGGACCGTCGCGCTGGTAGTTGGTCACGCGGGTCCTGAAGGGGCAGTTTACGGGGATCTGCAGGTAGTTGGCTCCAAGCCGGTGTCGATGTGTGTCTGGGTAGGAGAAGAGGCGACCCTAGACAAAGACACGACACACAAGACATAGCACGGTTACACTGTAGGTCTCTATACTGTCAAAGAAAGAGTCGACACCGAGCACGCTTTGAGAAATGTATTAACGAGCATTTAGTCCAGCTTTAGGTCTGCTGGAAGGGAATGAAACTATTAAGACTTGGGAAGCCTGAACATGGCCTTCAACAAGACACCATAGACACGCAGACATTCTCTGGCCACTACATATACAAACAGATTTAGGTATACCAATGGCAGCTTTAATTAACAGACTTTTTGTGGGGTTACCTGCAGCATCTTGTCGGGGCTGGGCTCAATGCCCGGTGGCATGTTGCTGGGGTCAAAGGCCAGCTGCTCCACCTCTGCAAAGTAGTTGACTGGGTTCCTGTTGAGCACCATCTTTCCCACAGGGATCAACGGGTATTCTTTGTGTGACCAAACCTGAATGAGAAAAACTCAAATTACCTGAAAAATCACTGTATCCCACTGCTGGGTGGGGAAAACAACACACCCAGGGAATAAACTCATTGAACATGGAGCTAAACCGTACGACACTCAAAGCCTGTAAGTGGTCACAGCTGGAACAGTTAGTTCTCCTTCTGAGTCACTTGACTCACTTTCACAGAAAGATTTCCTGAGTGGACTTTTCTTCAGTCGACCGGATGCAGGTTTTATTAAGAACTGCTAACAATGATGTCAACCTACAAACACATCTGTGATAATGTCAACAGAGTCTTTTAGGTATCCTACAACATCTTGTAATGTGACTGCATCCCCAGTTTGCTCTGCTGTGGAGGCATGTGGTACCTTTGTGACGTCGAAGGGGTTGCACTGGAACTTCTCAGCCTGCTCGAAGCTCATGACCTGGATGAAGAATGTCCAGGATGGGTAGTTTCCATTGGCAATGGAGTTGAACAGGTCTCCAATGGCATAATCTGGGTTGGTGGATGCCATGCGGTTGGCCTCCTCTACTGACAGATTCTTTATTCCTTGATCCGTCTAAAAACAAACATGACATACTGTAACACAAGCAATGCCAAAGTCCCAGGATGTGGATCCATGAAGTTGAATCTAAGTTAAGCCTGGGCTCAAACAGACCTTGAAGTGGAACTTGCAGTAGAAGCACTCGCCATCATCGTTGACCAGTTTGAAGGTGTGAGAGCCGTAGCCGTTCATGTGACGGAAGCCATCAGGCAAACCTCGATCGCTGAACAAGAAAGACACCTGCACAGAAGACACAAGGTAATGACAAGCCCTGCATAGTTTTCTGCGACAACTACTGTTGGTGTAAACCATAAACGGGTTAGTGCAGGTGTAAATACAACCAGGGGAATTATGCATCCATCAATCTTCATTTTCTGAAACAGTCCTCTGTACACTCAACCAGAATCAGCTACCTGATGCAGACTCTCAGGCCTCAGGCTCCAGAAGTCCCACACCATGTCAGGGTCTTTCATGTGGGTTTGGGGATTGCGCTTCTGGGAGTGGATGAAGGACGGGAACTGCAGAGGGAAAAGTGGGCAAGTTACATTTCACACTTGATCCATGTTAACAAAATGTTGTGAAATGTGTATTTGATCATTTCTTCATCAAACTTTTTCATGACTGATGAAACTAGTTCTACAATGGGCTCCTGTAGTTACTTGGGTGTTTCAGAGTTCAGTTCCAGGCTTAAGTTACGGCTCACACACCATCCTCCACTCACTCACCAGTATGGCGTCCCTGATGAAGAAAATGGGGGTGTTGTTGCCAGTCAGGTCCCAGTTGCCCTCCTCAGAGTAAAACTTGACTGCAAAGCCTCGGGGGTCTCGCACTGTGTCTGCTGATCCGGTTTCGCCAGCTGAAATAAAATTAAAATAAGAGAGAACATTCGATTGATAAAAAGGGAAAAGATAAGTTCAGAATTCACAGACATTGTCAGAGCCAATAGTTCTCATTTCAAAAGTAGAAGACGACATTATTAGTCGATTACGCAATGAGTCGACCAAAAGAAAAATAATTGGCAACTATTCATCTTTCCAACAAAAGTGCATTTCAGTAAGGACTGAATCAGACATAAACACACGACACGGTTATTCTTACCCACGGTTGAGAAGCGGACAGCGATGGGCGTGGTCTTGCCGACATGTTCAAAGACATTGGCCTTGCAGTAGCGAGTGATGTCATGAGTCACTTCAAAGTAGCCAAACGCTCCTGCATCATGGAGAGAATTAATCATCTTAAACATGTAATATCGCAGTTGACTCAGATTAGTGGAGTGTTATGTTGCCATGCACTGGAAAAATGCTCCCTCCAAACTGATTATGCTCAGTATCTGCCCAAAGGCTTGCAAAGATTAGCATTTGCCTGGAGCTAATCCACAGACAAGAATGACCGTTATTTATTTAGTTTTCCTTTTTTTGTCAGTTAGTTCTCTTGACTTTTCTTGGACAGCTGCAGTGTTTTTATACACAATGTAACATGTCACACATTTTCTTTTGTTACGTCAGAAATAAGGTTTTATATTCCAATAATAATCCAGCTCTACTAGCGCCACAGAACTTTGACCCTGATTCACTATGTACTGAAAGAGGAGGAGGTGACAAAGGCAACAATATCCTTTTGCAAAGAGTAACAATTGGGAGACAACACTTCTTGCATAGCCAACACACAGGTGACACAGAAGAGACTTATGCAACACCCACCGCCCCCTTTGGCATGCACCACCCTCTCTGGGATTCGCTCCCGGTCAAAGTGGGCCATCTCATCTGTGAAGACCACATCTTGGACAAGCAGAGGGCCCCTCGGTCCCGCAGTCTGCACGTTCAGCTTATCTCCAACGGGATGGCCGGCCCCTGTGGTCAGTGTGTCTGGCCTCTGTTGCAAGTAGAATTGGCTTTTAAAAAAACAACAACACATTACCTTATGCAAGATACGTATCGTAGGCGAACTGTGAAGAAATTCCTTCATACCTAGTGCATTTGTTTACATTATTTCCCAAGATGCACTACAACTCGGGTTACTTAAGGTGATAGCAGCTATTTGCTCTGGTTATATAACTCACAGGGGTAAAGTGCCACCACAAACATGCCTTTAGACAATGACCTAACATAGTTACTTAATATCTAGACTGAATTGCCCTCCTTAAAAAATGACTTTTATGCGTTTTTATTACAGTTAACGCTGCTTTACGTTATTTGAATTCTTTATACGGGTTAGTTTAGCATATAAGGTTAGCAAACGAGCGTTTTCCAGAGAGCCCTTTGCTAAAACAACGATTATAAACAACCTCAACACAAACAGCTGGCAGCACCAAACTAAGGAGACTTGAACGCTAGCTCACCCGACAAGCTAGCTTGAGGTTTTGGCTGCTAACGTTGGATTGTTTACCTCAAACGACCTCTCACCCATTTATCCCAAGTCAGGCAGCAAGCAACATTTGATTAAATGCAGTGTGTATACACGGACCTGGAGCGCCCTGTTCTCCTTCCACGTCTTCATTTGATCGGTAGCTTTGTCCCTGTTGTCAGCCATCTCGACAGGTCAGCGCCAGAGCACGTTTACACCACTCACTGTTGGGTAGATGCTGTAGAAATATCTTGATGTTTGACAAAATTCTTCCTCGACTTTGCTCAATGTGGCTCCGCCCCCTCTTGCACCCCTGCTTTCTGATTGGCTGAAAGGAGGAACCCGACCTACTTTCGGCTCTGCTGATACAATGTGAGGAGAAAGAACCAACTTATTGAGTTTCACTATAAAGTTTCAATGTGCAAAAGTATTTAATTGGACTGATTTCAAGTTCAGGTAATAAAGTCGTACCCACCTTAAGGCCTGGTCATATTAGCTGACATTGTGCTTTAGCAATAATGGTGATGTCTAACTAAATACATGCAAACACTTTTAAGGTACTTGTACCTTGTTAGTTATTTGTGCTATAGTTCTAAGTCACTACATCTCATGGGCAAATATTGTACTCTTTACTCCACTACTTTTATTTGATAGCTTTAATTACTAGTTCCTTTGCAGATTTAGATGATGAAATGTAGATCAGCTACTGCATTATTCTATATTATTAGTGGTTTAATATCCTACATTTACTTCAGTGAAACATGTGCTTCCACCATGGTGCTTTGCTGGTGCATATTCACAAACATGTGTTTTGTTTTTTTCAATTAAACTAGCACAAACCAGTTGACACATAGAAAGAATTGAGTCTTTGAGGTCCCTGGAGTTCCTATATGCCATTCCTACGCTCTACATCTATTGTATGACTTACTACTAGTGTACGAGCGATAAGAAAAACCCACACATCCAGTGCCCGGTATGTGGGTGATGGATCAAAGATATATCTAGCAGGATTTATGCAGATCTATCCGTTTTAATCTTACTTCTGTTATACACCGTAGCTCACAGTAGTACAGTCCTCTTATCATAAGATATACAGTACAAAGACCTACATTTTCTCTACTGCCGTGCTATCCAACAAGATAAACATGTAGTCAAACGTTTACTGTTGAATTGCTTTTATTTCAAACAGCATTCACACAATACACTGTATTCTTGAGGCACATTCACATCAAGTGCTAAATAACTTCATGCATGGTCAAATGAAGGCTACAGCTTGGTTGAATCAAATGCAAATGCTGATTGTAAATGAAAATATTGCTTCATTATTTGGCACAGTAGGAAATATTGTCTATTGTATGACCACAGGTGTGTTATTTTTGGATTGATTTTCAAAGTGAAGTGAGGAATGCAATCAGAACATGACCAAAAATGTAGCCTATGTTCTGCTTGATTATAACACAAATCACAACAGTGCACAAGGCTGATGATGCTTCTAGATTTAGCAGTATTTCACGTGATAATTCACATTCAAAGTACAACAAAATAGCACTATTGCACAATGTTGTAGAGAATATCTCGGACAGATAAAAAGCCACCTTGACATTCTGACTTTTGCAAGACCCATGTCACATTATCTTCATTTTAATCATAAAAACGTTTTGCAAAATTACCATTCAGGCTTCAAGCTGCAAAGTGGCTCTTAATGGTTTTAACCAGGAACACCATCAGTGCTAACGAGAAGTTTGCAGGTATTTTAATGACAAAAGCTAAAATGAGTGTGACAAGTGTCGGGTGACGAACAACTATAAATCAGAATATCAAGGTGTTTCCTCTAAGACAAAATGAACTGTAAACCCATTTAAAGGGGTTAGTATACTTTACATCACAAGTTAAATTCCCAGAGGTGTTTTGATAATTGTCCAGCAGTGATATTGATGTTAAATATAGTGTTGTATAGATTAACTTGGAGACTGATGTAAAGTTGTAATACTATGATAAACACGATTTGCACCCAGAATTAAGAGGAAAAAAAAGGCAATGAGTAGAATGTCCTAGTACACTATTTACACTGTTAAATATGCTTATGCAATGTGTATGACATTAATAATGTTAAAAATATAACAACGTAATATGATATTTATATGCTGATTACATCTGATTTGGCCACCCTGTAACAACTGCTACAAATTACAATTATTTCACCTGGATAAGAGTACCTGGATTTTTTATTTTTTTTGTTCAAAAGCACAATAAATACTGAACATACCAAAACCTCTATTATTTGTCAATCTCACTGTTAACAAATTACACAAGCAAATCCAATAGAGCTAACTCAACTCGGCTCCGAAACCGCTACGAAATCAATCAAGTAGGCGCAATCAATGACTGGTTTGAAAAGACAAATGAGTGTTTTCCTGAAAGAGAGGCGATTCCACCCCTCCGTCCAGTCGGTCATTCTCTAGACAGCTATAACAGGCTACAACCAGAGTAGGCACCATGCAGAGAGCGGGTTACTCCTGCCTAGGCTGGGCTCATTTTGTTAATTGAGATTAGTAAAAGTCCAAACTGAAAGATTTTGAGAGGGGGAAAAAAAAGTATCCACATATTCTTGTCTTCTCTGCTGTTGTTCTTGTTGAGAATTGTGATTCAGCCCAATTCTCAAGCCAAGGGGACACGGTTAATATGTAGGGTGCACACCATTGGAAAACTCATCAGCTTTCAGTGTGTAATTTGGGATATGCACTGCTTCATCCTAAATATCACCATCACCCATAATGCAACCGAGCGAGAATGAAGCCAAATGCTAAAGACACGATTTAAGCGTATAATTGATCCACGGGTCAATAAAACACCATGTTCAGAGTCAAACACTGGCTTTTCAGATCCCCCCCCCCTCCCCCATGAAGATAAGGTGTTTACTCCAATATGTTACTCACCCGCAGATTGACACACACCCCCCACATAGTACCCTCATGTGGGCCAAAAACTCTTATCTCCCTAAAACAGTTTAACAGACTAGAGCATGGCACCAAATAAGGGTAGAGGTGAAGGGAACGCGACTAAGCGAGTGTTTTACTTGAAACAGGTCGGGTTTGTACGAGAGGGAGAGAGAGCTAGATCCTGCGTAGAGGGTGCCACATGGACACGGGCTTCCTCAGAGTGGCCAGCATCTGGTTCCAGTGGGTGATCCCCATCCCGCTGGCCTCAGGGCCGATGATCACATGACCCAGGTTCTCACCCCGGCCGTCGTCTGTGGACTCTGCCACTGTCACCCTCAGGGAGAGTTCCTGCAAACAACATATCATGGTTACACAACCTGCTGTGTAAGCATGACTCAGCGTCTTCTTAACAGCATGCTCATCCAGATCTTAATGGAATCAGTTTAATGGACATGTGTAATAGCAGGTTTTTTTTTTTTATATAGTTTTTGGCATTTTAACATCACCTTTTATGCTGAATTAATTTTATTACTGTCTGGCTCATTCAGTAAGAGCAATTACATCTTTTGGATTAAATGCATGGACTGATACATGCATTTAACAAGCACATTTTACAGGAAGATGTTAATGATGATATCGTAGTTATATTTATATTAGTATTTATGGATAAACATATGAAATATTTGAACAACTACCGGATGGATTGACATGCAATTCTGTACAGACATTCGTCGACCTCAGATGGCGAACCTTTAAGACTTTGGTGATCCCCTGACTTTTCTTGTAGACTCACCATGAGGTCTACATTTGTGGTTTCAAGTGAAATGCCTCAACAACTATTGAAGGTATCGCCATGACATTTAGTACACATTTAAGAACCATTTAGATAGTAATAACTTAGCTGCATGTACATACCTGCACACCTGTTTTTTTGTTTTGTTGTTGTTATTTTTGCTGTAATACTTTAAGTACTGTTTAAGTAACTGTTTCAGTTACTATTGGCAATGCTGGTTTATTATTCTGTTTTTATTATCACATTTTATCTTATCTTATTCTTTGACCTAAATTCCCCATGTGGATTAATAAAGTGTCATCTCATCATTTCGTCGTTCAGGACTTCGTTGCCACAGTCCAAAGTGTCACCTGCAGGACGATGGACGGCACGGAGAAGATCATGGCTTCATTGAAGATGGGATTCGTGTCGTCCCTTTTGGTGGAAGTCTTCTTCTTGCTGATCTTCCTGCCATCTTGCAGGAGATACACTTTGACAAATGGATCTGATGACGACAGTGAGCAAATAAGATTACGACCGAGTTTAAATCTTCTAAGACCCAAGCTACACGTGTGCAAACATAAACACCCCCCACACAGACAGTTAGTGTTGCATTTAATAAACTCCTCATTAAATAGTAATCAGGCACAGTCCTGCACGCACAATTAGCTCTGTGGATGATAATGACAGTGTTTCACAGGGTGACCTTTATCGGCACAATGATAGTGTGGCACTTATTGTGATGTCATTTAAGTCCTATCTGCCTGTCTGGATATGACTAAACATATCTTCTGGGAGTTGACACTGAATCTGTTATTAGTGAGTTAGTAAGCATCGTGTTCGGTCACGGCATATGAGTGATTTTGAAAAATGTGTATAGATTCAAAAGCAGACAGATTTATAGTTCAAGAGGAACAGTCACTCATGCAGCTCCAATTCACACACATTTATGAATACAACTCAAACAGCAGACAAACGAATGTTCCCGACCTGCAGTGTTCTTGCCGTTGGTCCACACCAGGTTCTTGCATTTGGCTACAACAACTGTGAGGCGCTCTGCTGTCGGCAAATAGCTGAGAGACAACAGGATCTCCCCAACTGCATCCACAGCCTGTGGAGTCATACCAGAGTGTGGCAGTCATTGAATACAACACGCTTTAAAGCACTTTCCACAAGCATCATCTCTTTAACAGTAAAGCAAATATCTTCTCACACAGCTGGAGATGTAGCTGTGTGAGCAGCCTGCTACTTGGTGTTGGCAGGAGTCGAGCCAAACAGAGCTTGTTCAACTACTGTGGGTCTGACTTAATTACATGCTTAGGTGGTACACAGCTTACACATCTTTAAATCAGATAGAGCTTTGTTTGAATTAGAGCAATTACAAAATGGAAACTGTAAATGTGGAAATAAATGAGTTAAATTCAAATGTACAAATATGTTGTAATTCCATTTCAGTATTCATTTGCAATAAGTAAATAGAATCAACAAATGTAACGATTTAATGAGTTTTATTGTAAGTAATGGAAATTCAAATTGAATTAATTAATTCAAAACTGCTAAATTAATTAATTCATTTTAATTAAACATGGTCAAAGCCTGTAATCATTCCACTATCACATTACAGGCTCCACGGCCATGGATACTGTTGCTGGTATAAATAATGTAAGTAAGAGTAATTTGGTCTTGGTAAGGACTTTAATGATCATGCTCATGTGTCTGTGGTCACTGTATCTCACGGTTGGACTATTTTTGAACGGTGTGTTTGTCTAACCGCTTACAGTTAACAGATAACATAACTACCAATACACACACTGCTGTACCTTGACACAACTCAGCTGCAGCTAATCGGGCATACTGCTTAGTTAAATTTAGTTTGTGGCAAGATTGCATGTAGCGTATACAACAACTTTGAGCTGCTTGCCTGCATACATCACCGCTTGTTTTTTTGTTTGAATTTCACGAAACCTTACAGCCCATTAGTGTCTAGACTGGGGATTAGCAAATTGTGGGTTGTATTCATTCAATCACACACTACAGCAGTGGTGGTTGTAGACACACCTGGTGGAGATCTGCATACTGTGTGCACCTTTCTAGTTCTTTTCTGTATTGCATTGCTTCATTGTACCCGAGAACACATTACTGCATTATAACTGACCTTATTGACATCTTGAAGGTAGAGCCAGGCGTTGAATGGTCGGATGGTCAGGTCCAGGTCTGACAGCTTGAGATCTGCGACCCCAGCGCTGATGTTTCTCTCGTCGGCATCGATACCAAAAGCTGCACAACGTAGGCTGTACTCCTCCAAAAAGGACAAGTCCATGGGGATGGAGAAGTGCTGGTCAAAAATCACGGTGAATGCATTCGTCTGGATCTGTGAGAGGCATAAGAAGTTGAAATGTAGGGATTCATCTATATTTTTTATTTATTATTATTTATTTAACATTCATCTCTTAGATAATATATCTTAAGGGTTGATTGCTACTGATGACTTTGGCAAAATAAACACAGGTAATAAAAACTCCTGCACAAAAGCTGTTTGCAAAGATTGTCAGATAAATCACAAGAATCAGGCTGACTTTACAAGAAAACATGTGGTGTTAGGCTTTCCTTTCACTCTGCTGCAAATAGAGATTTGCACTACAGTATCATACTGTAAAAAAAAAATGTATATAACACGTGCAAACCAATCTGCACGACATAAAAACAACATTTTTAATTTTTTTGTCATCGTCCAGCCTCAAAACCAAGTAGATTCTGATCACAAGTCACAATTCAATTTATTTTATTGGCAGCCAAAGCAGCTTTTACAATGAAAAGCAGATTCTGAAGGCAGTTTGGCCCGGCCAGCAGAGCACCCCATGACTACTTTAGATTGAAGTGATAGACTGCAGCTGCCACAGTGACCACATGCTGATCTCAGGCCCTCATATAGTAAAGAACGCGCTGAAACGAGGGTTTACCAGGCGGTCGGAAGTTACCAGGCAACTAGTGAATGTGCAGAGTAGAGTGGATCTTATAGTAGCTCTTTTTCACACCAGTGTTTTTTCTTGTAGTGTTAAATATATCTGCTAAATACAATATTTAAATGCAAATACAGTCAAACAGAATAAAACAAAAGCATGTGTTGTTTTTGATAAAACAACAAGTCCCTTTACAATAAAGAATTGTGAATTAAGAGCGCAGGGTATGCGGATCAGCCTGTGAGGCCGTCCTTGGATTACGCCTCATATCAAACACATGAAGAGGATGAAGAGCACTATAATCTTACATCTAATACCAACATCTGTTGTGCAATAAAGAAACAAAGCAGGCAGTGTCTCTCTGCCAGCCCAGCACCAGACCTGCTCTCCATGCACAATATGAGTCTGTCTGCACTGTCAGGCTTATTGCTTAGGGTGGGATAACAATGGCGATGTGTGTGGTGAAAATTACGCAATAAAAGTGTGTGTGTGTGTGTGTGTGTGTGTGTGTGTGTGTGCAATACAGAAGACAAAGAAAGGGAGAATGAGAGAAGAGTGGCATGCACATTATTACAGGCAAAACAAAAGCAAGAAAAGGCAAATAATTGGAGAGAAAAAGAGATGAGGGGGCAAAATTTGATGAAAGAGGGAGTGATAGACGGGTGATGGGCAAAAACAAAAACAGTGACAACAAAGAGGAGAAAACGAGCGAGAGAAAGCACAGGAAAACAGAGAGGGAGGAGGAGGAGAGAGAAGAGAGAAAGAAGAGAGAGAGAGAAGCTGGCTTGACCATTAGGGCGAGAGAAGCAGATGTCAGCATTTCTTTGGTCTTCACCACTCTTCGACATTAAAGAGGGAGCCGCTGCTGCTTCCATTACTATAACAACCAGCCTGAACGCATTAATACAACACAACAACATGCTCAAGTAAGGGGACACGCCTGGTGAGACACCGTCCCCGTCAGCCTGCACAAACTAGACCACGTTCACACGAGGCCAGATGACAGTGACTCACAGCCAGGCAGGAATTACTGGATTGTCTGGCAGCGTCTCTCTAAGAGCAGAAGGTGTAGCAGATGGAGGAGTGTCCCCCCCCCCCGTTCTCTTCCTGTCTGAACTGTCCCTTCACCTTAGATTCAAGCTTTTCATGAAGTTGTTTTTAGTGGAGAATATGGGTGTTAAGAATATAACTACTCATTGTTAATCAAAATTATGAGACAAAAGACACAAGCACAGAATTTAAAAACAAAAATATAATGTAGTGTGTTTAAAGGAAAGATTCAAATGAAGATTAAGAAGTAGTTAGAGTCAGATACCGTTATACCGTCACAATTATCAATCTTTTTTTATTTTGTATAAATAAATCACAATATATTAAAGTTCATATTGTGATATAAATAATGACCACGTACATTTTTGGGCGATTTTAATTGAGGAACAGCTTATGTAACATGTTTTTGATTTATCCACAAAAATAAATCCCCCAAAAATGTATGTACCTCATCACATTGTGTTGCTCATTGATTCGCTGTCCCTGAAGGTCTTTTACACCCAGTATAGTATGGTTTTATACTGTCTCATGGTATTTTCTATATTTTCACATCATCCAACCCTGTCACCTAACTTTCACACACATTTATTATATTGTGACTTGAAGCATCAACTTTTTAAACTGAGTGAACTGGAAAGGAATCACTACGCATAGTTAGGGCTGTTACAAATCCTATCATCGTAAAAACGGCATAATACATATCATCATATTCATAACCTAGAATGCAGGTAAACACAGGTTAAATTAGAGCCTGAGTGAGCTGAAAGTGAATCACATCTACTCCTGATGAAGGTAAAGGATGTGGAAACAACCTTCCTGACTGGATCCAGCTCCCAGAGGGCCTCGCCCCTCAAGTAAATGAAACGGGCTTCCGTCAGACAGGAAAGGATTGGCTTGTCGAGCTGTAGGATCAAGCCTCTCAGCTGTCTCTGTTTAAAATTCAACCATGGTTCAACTCTTCAACACGGTTCAAGTGAGCAAAAGCTTCCTCCTGAGCGAGACAGCCTTCGGACTCACTCGTCTCCCTCAGCGTCAGGAACCACTTTTATCTTCAGTCTTTTGAACAAGTTCAGTCGTCACGGCTTAACAGCTAATTAACCATCTGATAAGCTTTTTTATTTTTTATTTTTTATTTTCAGTCCTGAATTTCTGCCCCATTAGTAGTCTAATGGTCATTTTTTAGCCATTATAGTGGCGTGGCTTTGTCTGTCGATCGCTTTGGTCCAGACTGAAATGTCTCAATTACTATTAAATGTATTGTCACGATTGCATTTGGAACAGATATCTACAACAATACATTGTGAGTATCCTTGAGATATAACAAATGTGTTGAATGTATTTTTGAAACCTGTTATTTTATTACAGCAATGCTTTGTTTCTTGATTACTACCATGCTGTAGATTAGTAGAATATAACACCATTGGCGGAAATGTGCAATGCGTAACCTGCATAAGCATGCACATGTGTACTCAGGAAACCACTCTTAAAACTCTGCAGGGAACCTTTAAGTCACACGTGTCAAACTTAAGGCCCGCGGGCCGAATCCGGCCCGCCACGTCATTTTATGTGGCCCGCGAATCCACCAGCAAAAAAAAAAAAAAAAAAGTTTTTTTTTTTTTTTTAATTTTGGAAAAAAAAATTTAAGTTGGACTTGAAAATAAAAATATCCCCATGGTCGAAATTTTGAGATAGAAAGTTAAAATTATGAGATAGCATGTTGTCTGTGAACCGACATTAAAACTATCACAACAAAATTAATGTAATAACTTGTGTTTGATATTTGTCTTTGTTATTTTCTTTAAAAGTTTGATCTTTGATGGAGTAATGTGGGTTTATTATCCCTAAATTAAAATGATTTATGTTATAATAACAGAAATGTGCTTAAATATTATTTTACATTTATATAACTGCATGTACAATATTTTTACACTTGAATAAACAATAATCAAAAGCAGACACAGTTATTTAACAATATGTTAGGAGTAGTTACAGTTATACAGTCTTACAGTTACAACCGGCCCTTTGAGGGAAACCATGATGCTGATGTGGCCCGGAGTGAAAATGAGTTTGACACCCCTGCTTTAAGTGATTCATTCCTTAAACTCTATCCTACTATTCAGAGAGCAACAACTTTGTCCACCAGGTGATGATCTCATGGCATGATCAGACCATGAGATGTGGTTGGAAGTTCCAGTTTAAGCTGGTAAGTTACAGTCTTTTGTAGGACTACTATTTCCAAAGTCTTTCACACTCAAGGCCAAGTAGCTCCTCATACCGAGGAGAACCACACCGTATCACTTCAGTGGTGTTTCCACTTTTTTTCATTTGAAGGCAAACATAGTTGTACAAGCACAAAAAGACAACAGCTTCCTTACCCTTGTGACTCCCACACTGGTCTCCTCTGGCCCCAGGGAGACTCTGATGAAGCAGCGGGGGAAGTCTCCCTCCTCCCTCTCCAGCAGGTCTTTGCCCTGGTGCAGAGTGATGTGGAGCAGTCCCGGCCCCTGGCCCGGATGCCTGGACGGCTCAAACTCGAGCGTCACCTCCAGCTGGCCAACCGTGTAGTCGTGGCCGAAGTTGTTTGCGATGGAGGAGATGGAGCTGAGCGAGTCGGTGGAGATGGATCGGTTGATCTGGGCCACGCCGGTCGGGTCCAGCTCCCTGCTCATCAGCTCCAGGTGGCCCAGATCTCTGAAACAGTCCGGGGTGTCGCCGAGGGCCAGGCTGGGTTTGCGGCTGGAGGTGATGGAGGTCCGCCGGTGGTTGTTGGCAGCCACTCGCTTCAGGGAGGAGTTAAGTAAGGACATTTTCAGGGTACTGACATGGAAAACTAACCGTGAACTGTTTGCAACTACAGGAAAAACTATTGACACACCCGGTAGTTTGAGAGAATCATCAGCATTCACTTGAAGTTATGTCACTCCTTTTAGCTCTGTTTTTGGTCTCTACCAACTATTGAGGGAAATGCGCTTAAGCAGCTAAATGCTCCACTTGCAGCTTGTTGCTACCAGTGTTTTCCTGCCGTTTGTTTCTGAGGTGCTAGTGTACATTTAGGTTTTAGGTGCATCACTACAAACAACACCTTTCACATAGTTTCCACATGAGTTGCTTTTACTAAACTCCTTTCAATTCAAATTTTTCCTAGTCTTGCATTTTCCTGTCATGAACTCCACCAAAGAGGTTATATTTTGGGGTTTGGTTTGTCTGGTTTTCAGCAGGATTACAGAAACATTACTGGCCCGAATTTCATGAAAATTGTTGGATGGGTGGTTAAAGCATATTTTCCTAAATGATAGATATGAGGACCACAATTTCAAAAACAAGACCCAAATTGTAACAAACCAGAATTATCTTCTGACGTAGAGAGAGTCAATCGTGTGTCATTGTGGCCCAAGACTCTGAAGGTGCAACTAAAAGCAGTGAATTTCAAAGACCAAAAGAGCTTCAGCCACAGGAAACCTTTCTTTGAAATCAGCTGCTGCCATCTTCAATTGGAGCGAAAACCTTCAGACATCTCGACCCTCCGTCCCACATGATTGCTCACCACTTGCTCCAAGCTGCTTGATTTAACCACTAACTTCAACCTCACTAAACCTCTCATCTCCCTGCTTTTTAGAGATATATATATTTTTACGCACAACACTCATATTTCAGAATTCTGAGAAGCAATGTTAAGGTACCTTTTGTCTGGCTTCTGAGAAGGAGGTTCCATATTTTTCTTGCAGATATCGATAGTCAAAGTTGGGGAAGGGGGACGGGGCGGGGAACGTTCCAGATTTCCACAACTTCCAGATGTTGAGCCCGGCCACGGCCAGTAGCACCAAGAAGCCCACCAGGTAGATTCCCACCTCCCACCCGGGTGGGTTACGCACCACTGAAACAGGCACACAAAACAAGTGCTTCAAGCTATCCTTACTTCCCTTTCATCAAAGGTAGCATGATGTTTGGCCTCATAACCGTCTATATTTTAAATGTGATGGACGAGTTTGATCACTGGTGGAAGTGCACAGTTTGGGAGAAACCCAGGACAGAGAGTTTAGAGTTTTTTTATTTTATTTTAAGATCAGTGAGAGTCTTAACGAGCTCACAATCACTGAGCACAATCAGTCTGTTCCAGGCCTTGTCATTTAGCACTGAGCATTGAGATGGCTTTGGGAGCATTCAGGATGTATAAAGTTTTATGTGAATCAAATAATAGTTTGGGACAAAATTGAAATGCCGCTCTTTAAAAATCAAAACATCTCATGTTGCCTTTTAGAGATGGATTATGAGCCTGTGCCGAGCTGGCTTTCTCAAGATGAATTGCCTCTGTCGGGGACTTTGACAGCTTTATCCCTACTGGTTTTTTTTACACAAGAGATAAGCCAATTACAGGGCAAGTCAAAATGTCTTGTAACATCGATGGCCTTCAAGATGAGGCCGGAGGAGTTGTAAAGATTGTGCACGGAGGTGACAGTAGCTGTCAAATGGCCTGCAAGCAGAAACACAAATGCAAGGAAATACAAATACTCTCATACTACACACTCAAATACAATTACAACAGTGTGGATACAATCACATGCATTAACCCAAACAAGGACACGCATACAGAAAAAAACAGAAAAGGAATACTGTCCACTCACCACTCAGATGGTAGCCTGATATATCCCCAGTTTGAGCGGAGGACATGGTGCTGCAGCCAGCCTGGAGGAAAAAAAACATCCAACAGAGTAAAGTCTGACAACCAGAGCTGTTGCCGGTCTTAGAATGAACTACAGAATAGAATTAATTAAAAATGTAATTCTGGTTCATCATCCAGAATAATATTTGGGTTGATTTTCATCTATAATGTATTAAACACTCAGCAGAGGGAATTAATTATGTTTTTCAGAGTATAATTTAATAACCTTTTCATACTTAATACAAGTTATAACACTTTTGAAAACTTATCATCCTTAAAAAGCCTTTGGCTTCAACATTAATCAGAGTAAACATTGCTGAATTGACCGGCTTTGGGCCACAGGGCAAAATGTACCTGACATCCACTGCTGCTTCAGATGCATTCACAATGAGACGCATGCGTAACAGGGGATGGCAGGGCTCTGGGTGGATTTTTACATTTTGGCCCTGGTCCCCCTGAGCAGGAGTGGCCAACAAAGAGCCAACGGTCTGCAGGTTGTCTTACCAACTAAAGACTTCACCCACTGATAAGTAGAGGGGAAACAAACCTGCTGATGTGATTGGTTCAAAGCAAATCCTGCAGACTTTTTGGCTTGAAATGGCACATAGTTTGCTGATACTACATCATTACAGAAATGAGTGTTTTCTGGCTACGGTTTGATTAGGTTTAGGCAATTAAAACTACTTTCGGTTATTTGTAAGACCATAGAGGATGTGTTAAAGGAAAACAGAGGTTGTTTTAAGTCTATGAACAAATTACTGATGCTGTTGTTTGAGAGCATATTCTACACAAACAACACAATGAATCGGTAAAATCTCAAACTATGTTGTGTTCCAGTCACTGCACTTTGTCAGAAATGTGTTGTTGTTTTTTTTCCTACTTAAGCAATTCCACTGAAAATGCAAGGACCGTGACAGACGGAGCTGTGAATTTTGGGGCCCATCATAGTCTGGGGCCCTCGGGAAATTCAACAATTAAACACCTGACTACTGACTTGCTTTTTATATCAACAGAGATGAAATGTATTGTACACAGGAAAGACATACTATTAGTTTTATAATTATACTGCTTTGACAAACAGTAAACGTCATCAGTTTCCCAACCCTGCTTACAGTACAAGGCTTCTGGGAGAACTCCGTGATTGTACATTCACCAGAGGAGCATAATAGTTCTTTGATTTTTAAGTTAGTTTAGTCAAATCAGTTCAGATCCTTTTTTTGCATGAGACGAAAGAGAACAATATTTTCCTGCGCCCCACTCTCACTCTGCAAACAGCAAAATAATAAAAATAAAAAACGGTGGGCGATGGTGTGTGAGTCATTTCTCCACCCAACCTCCCCTCCTTCCTCCTGCTCCCCCGCTTGTTGGAATCTCCCCATATCTTGGTGACTCGGGGGAAATGGGAGCATTACACTAATGATATAGAAAAGGGATGGAGGTTGGGGGGTGGCGACTCAATTCTGCTGAGCGATTTGCAGGCAACGGCCATGCAGGCCAATTAAAGTGGCTGACGCAGTGCAGGGCCCACTGACGGATGCTGATGTTCCATTAGCAAAGCGTGGGGGATCTCTAGCAGAGTGTGAGTACCCCCCCCCCCCTCCCCTCCCCCCCAAAACCCGGCATTGCTCAGATCAGCTTGGCTCGGCCGGCTTAAGGTAACGTATGAGTGTTGGTCCAGGGGCAGCTCAAGAGAAGGAAGAAGAGGAGGAAGGATCAAGGATGGGAGGGGAAAGAGAGAGAGAAAGCAAGACAATGTTTCAGACAGATTTAGTAAATAACAATGAGGCAGCGTGGGCGCTCCGGCGCCTCAGTGGGCTCGAGGTGGCAGAATACAGAATACAGAATACAAACAATGAAGTCAAACTTGCCTGAAATAGAAATACGTTTGAAAACAGTGCCAGTGGATTTGAGGAATTGGACGTCTTTTGATCATTTGTCTAAAAAGGTGCAATTATTCCCAATATAGTCGTCTGAGATAACCCGTCAGCCCTGTCAGATGAACTCAAGTATCACTTCATCGACATCAGTCGTTATGTTCCATGTTATGTTTCTTTAAATCGATTTTGAAATTGATGACTTACAGTTCACAAAAGCAGGTACTGTTAAGAGTTTCCAGCTTTCAGGTGGATCTCCAGCACGCTGCCTTCGGCAGAGAAGAACATAATTTAGCTCGTGAACTTTGCTGCTCGTTATCTCCCCTCTCTTTCCTATTTCTCGTGACACCATCTGACAAATGCCATCTATGCAGAAGTGTCTCAGACAGTATGATAATGAAGATGGTACGAGGAAAACAGACGGATGATAACATAGAAGGAAACAATGTGGAGATTTTCAACCTTATCTCTATTTATCCGAGTTAGTGATTTAGTGTAAAAAACAAGGCCTGCTGTTCTTGAAGATGTCCTCTCCGTGGCGCAGCTAGAAAATCTGTTGCTCTTCCTGCATCCAGTGACGTGACAGTGACGTCATTGGAGGCAAGAAAGAACTACTCAAAAACGCTCAAATGGCGCTCAAAAACATCCTTTGTTCTCTTCACTTGTGTTACATTTTGTGAGTTTGTTTATTTATCAGAAGTCTTTCCAGGTCACTATAGCATGCACTAGGGTATCTATTTCTTCAGTGGACTACATTTACCATCGGCTTTGATTGGACATTCATAATCAGAGAAGGAAAACAGTAATGTGGACCTGTAATGTTCACATCTTTTTTAATTGCAATGATTCAGCTGAAACCAGAAGAACTGGAGCAAGAAGTACACTGGCCTCAACCTAACCCATTGTGTCTTATTTCCACGACATCATCAGACATGTCATATCTTCCCTTTTAGATTTGAGACTTTCCGTTCGGCTGACAGCTCATTAACACACAGCAGTGAAGGGAAAGGTGTACATTTGCATAAATGCTTTCCCACTGACGAGTCATCTTCATGCCCACATGATCTAGACTCTCACGCTTCTTTAGATTTATCTCACCGTTGCTGCAGGGATTCTGTCTCTAACATCGCTCATAAAGCCTGAAACGTCCGTCTTCCTCCAGCACACACAGAAAGACGTTGTGTGGGGGGGGACGTTTTAATTACCGAGATATGCATGAAATGAATATCTTGTCACACTGTCAGCGTGCGAAACAGGCTGTGATGAGCCTTAAGTGGCATGTGAGTAATGCAATGGAAGGGAGCCTGTGATATTTTCCAGATCAGTAATGAGGCTGTCAAGAAAAAACAACAAAAAGGAAAAGTCAGAGTTAATAATCATGCATCATGTGTTTCAATGTGGAAAATTAAATAACCTCAGTCTCTCTGAATGTTGTCATTCTAACAGCTAGTGGTTTAAACGTAAAAATTCCGTCTTGAAACAGTCCTCTGACAACCTGTGGAGACTTTAACAATGGACCTGTCTTTTATACACTTTCCTGGCAATAGTTTTGACCAAAAGGTTGTAAAGGATGGAAGCATGGAAGCACCTTTTCTGAGCATTTAGAGAGTTCAACCAGCTCTTATCATGGCTGCCACTGACAGCAGATACTTCCAGGTCATTTCACTCAGTTAGGAACCGTCCTTAACAAAAAACACTATCGACTTCCAATGATTAAGCCAGCGCCTTGTATGGCGAGTGTGTGTGTGAGTGGGTGGATGAAAGGCAAATTGTGAACCCTCTTTCCATTTTCCTTTTGTCCAGTAATCCCATCGTAGTTCTAAGAGTCAGTATGTACAGTATGTGCACAGTGTCTTTGTTTCTTTGGTTTCTCTGTGGTCTGGAGCAGGGTCCCCAAAAATCGCTGTGACTAGGGAGGACACAGACACTACAGTCAGCCTCCTCTGTGTCTCCAGCTGGACACAAACAGCGAACCCAACGCACCTGCTCACAAAGCAGCAGATTCTGCACTCTGGCTATAATTATACCGTATCTGCCGCTGTTTGCTGCTAACAGTCGGGAAGAAAGAAAACAAGAAATTCCCTCCATTGGAGCTGCATGTTGAAACAGGTCAGATCAATAGGAACAAACACACTGCAAAGAAGGAGAGAAAACACCCCCCCCCCCACACACACACACACACACAGTGCAATAAAGAGAAGAAATAAAGAACGAGAGGTTAGATAAAGAGAGAAGTGAGACAAGGATGAGATAATAGAGAGTGATGGGAAAAATAAGAGGAGATGAGCTTCTGTGTTGAAAAAGCAATGAGAACGAGAGAGCAGCTGGGGAAGAAGAAGAAGAAGAAGGAAGGGAAGGGATCACGCGCCTGTCAGCTCGCTCTCCCAACAACTGATCAATCAACTTTGCTTTTAATCTCGCCCAATGACTCCTAATCAAATTAACTGCCTCAGTGAAACGGCCAGATACAACACGGCACAGCAATCTGTCTCTCTGTCCTACCTCCTCACAGATCTGCCTGTTTGTTTCCATGCCAGCTACACTTTGACTTTCTGGTTTAGACAGCTCATTTGGTGCATGGCAAAAGTAGCTTTGCACCGGCTTTTAAATGTCAGCAGCGGTGCCAGCTGAGACAGGATGAACCTGCACGCTGCAGTTCAACCAGTCAGAGTTACTCAAACTTACTCAAACTTCTTATGGCAAGGCTCAGAGATAGAGCGGGTCGTCCTTCAGTCAGAGGATCGGCGGTTCGATCCCCGGCTCCTCTAGTCCCTGCTGCCAGCTCTGTACTTAGAGGTAAATGCTCATGCCAGCATGCTAATATGCTCACAATGATGATGCTACCAGGCTGATGTTTAGCAGGTAAAATGTTCACTGTGTTTACCATCTTAGTTAAGCATGTTTGCATGATAACTTTTGTCAGTTAGCACTGAACACAAAGTACAGGTGAGGCTGATGTGGATGTTATTAGTTTCGCCAAAGGTATTTCAATTCATCCGGGAGTGATTCATCCACTGGGGACCATGAACGATGTTTACTCGAGCTAAGGGTGATGTTTCAATCCAGGATGTCTCTGAAACATATGATTTGGTAAAATCAAATTCTGTGTACAGATCGGTTTTGGATCAACAAACAAAAGAACAGAATTGACCACCAAAATATCTTTGATTTTCATTTTACGATCAGTTCCAGTCGACCTTTTATCCATAACTATGAAACTGGCAGAGATACTTGACTGTGATGTTTGCAAATCAGTTTAACTGTAAATATAATCAACGGAAGAGGCTTCTTTGAGTGTACCAGCAAGCAGAGAAATATGTGCCCTCTGTCTACTTTGATTATGCAGTCAAGGGCTACTTAAACAACTCTCGCAACTGGAATTTGATCTGTCTCCAAACAAATCTGACGTTTAAATATTTTCTCTCCTTCTTTGCAAGAGACAGAGAAAGAAAAGCTCTCTGACTTCACTCTGAACCGCATCAAACATCTGAATGTTGAAAAGGCTACAGAGGGGATACAACCGCACAATCAAACCAGGCACACCAGTCAGAACGCGTGTTTGGCTGAATTAACCGCAGAATAATTACTTACAACTATTATTTTTGCCTTGTCTTATCCTGATGAATGTTATTTTGCAGAATCAGCAGGATCAGTGTTTCACACACGTGGAATGCGTCCCACTGCAACCACAGTCAGCAGGGTGATTAAGGAAGTTGCTGAGTGTGCTCCTTTCATTTCCACACCTGCATGGACTTCTTCCAAGCGACTGATTTTTCATTATACCGACTTATTCGATTAACAACCTGACAATTAGGATCATACAGGACAGGGAGAGCACTTAGTGCTACAAAGACGTCTGTCAGACCTGATTTAATGTTTCAGAAAAAGGTTCATTCACTTTCAGTGATGTGAAGGTGGGTGAAAGCCTAAATTCTTCCAAAGTAGGGAAGAGCAGTAATTTGAAGCCAAGTCACAGCTTTATTGATTAACTATTAAGTAGCAGCAGTCCGATCCAAAGGTATTTGGGCAGTAACACAGGTTTTTATGCTTCCACTCTTCATCGGAGGCTAAATCTTACTTTGAAATACACAATTCACAGAGGGGACAGAAGGGATTTAATACCAGCGAACAACGTCGGCGCCCCAGCTGGCTGGTGTGGCCGTTGGAACTGAAGTGATATTTCAAACTGTTTTTAATGCCTGCCCACACAGATATCGCACCAATCAAATTAAAAATCTTCTTTTTGGTTAAATTTTGCCCAAATAGGAACAAAAGCTAAAGAAACCATTTTTTTGTAGATGTATTTTCATCCATACCAGAGGAGCCGCTAAAAACCTGCAATGTGATTGGAAACATTTGAATAAGCTGAAGGACATTTGGGGAAATTTGGGTGATTTTCATAGAGTTAGATGAGAAGATCGATGCCACTCTCTACTCTCTACGGTAAGTATGTAGCTGGAGCTAGCAGCCTGTTAGCTTACTGTAGCTTAGCATAAAGAATGGAAACTCAAGAGTTTAAAAAAATATTCCTTCCAACACTTCTCAAGCTCACTAATGATGCCACTATTGGCTGGAACTGCAACCAGATAAGAAATACTCATACTCATGTATGACACTCTGGACCTTGTGCGGATTTAACAAATGAGTTCAAACATGTAGGAGCCGTTTCCCTGTGCTTCCACTCTGTTTAGAATACAGATGCGAGAGTGACATAAACAACGCTGCTTAATGCCTGATAACTTCTACTCTAGGAGTCCCAGTGGCATAAATGTGATTCATCTTGTGATACTTTATTTTTACGATTCTCTCTCCAGCCCGCTGCGTTTTCGAGGCATCGCCGGGAGAAGTGAGCTGTATTTGGCAGCAGACTGCTCCGACCACACACGCATTCACCATAAAGTCAGGCAATCCATTTCATGATCCATTCTGGAAATATTGGTGCGGTGATACATTAAGGTGTAAGCCACCGCTCCATCTGAGCAAAGAACCATTTCGATAGCGGCAGAGGGCCTTTAGGTGTTACATTAAACTCACAGAGCAACACGTCTCATCTAAATGTCTTCATCGAAGTGCTCTCAGTTCTCTTAATGTAATAACACTTTTCTTTCAAGGAGTTCAGCGTGGACGCATGGATGAGGAAGGTGGTGTTAGGGCTGTTTGTGTGTGTGTGTGTGTGTGTGTGTGTGTGTGTGTATGTGTGTGTGTGTATGCAGAGGCAGGGGAAGCCCATGACCGGGAGCGAGAAAAAGAGTCGGTGTTAAACGAATGGCTGAGATGATTGCGAGTGCTGGTGGAGGAATTGAATTCTGAGCAGGTCGTATTTCAGCCCGGCCCGAGGAGGAGGCGAGAGTCCCAGTGACACACACACACACACACACACACACACGACTATTTTACCTCTACTGCCAATCCACTTCACACAGACATCCAGCATCATTAGAAAGCTGCGCGGAACACGCTTGAAGAGTTGGCGAGTTACTCAAGTGTTGAGGTCATGTTAAAAATATATATTTTTTATTTTTTTTCTTGAGGGGGGGAGTTTGAAATGTCAAAAGCGAAACCGGATGTTTTTTTTCAAGTGTATGTTCCTCTTTTGGATTCTGAAAGTGCTTCATCATCATTAAATCACAGCTTTCAGAGGGAGAAAGTTGACTCCCACACATCTCTTAACTGTTAATTAAAGTAAAAAGCTTTCCTGGTAATCAGTACACTTTACATTTTGAGATGGAGTACAGAAAGGAAGCCAAGAACATATATATATATATATATATA